TAAATCAAAAAGAAATATCTTATAATCCTTTCAAAAATCAACATACTTGCAGCATATTAAAATTTTATCTTGGTCCTGAAGGAGATAATAAAGTACCTTTTGATATTAAAGCCATATGTTATTTCTTCCTCAGAGAAAGGAAACTAACAGTGCCAAATAAAGGCCATATCTATGTTATGAAACTTACCCAGAAGGCAAAGTACTTTTTCTTTGACTAAAAAATCCTTTTTTAAAATTTAGAGCCATCCTAATGCATGTGAAGAGTGGTATATCACTGTGGTTTGGAATTGTATTTTCCTAATGATAAGCGTCTTTTCATGGGCAATTTATTGGTCATTTGTATATCTCCTTTCAAGAAATGTCTATTTAAACCCATGCCCATTTTTAAATCTGATTTTTTGTTGAGTTGTAGGAGTTCTTTGTATATTATGGATATTAACCCCTTATCAGATATATGATTTGCAAATATTTTCTCCTGTTCTGTGGGTTGCCTTTTCACTCTGTTGATTGTGTCCTTTGATATACCTAATTTTAAAATTTTGATTTATTTCATTTTATCTATTTATACTTTTGTCATTTCCAAGAGGTCATTGTCAAATCCAATTTCATGAAGCATTCCCTGATTTTTTCTAAGTGTATACTTTTAGCCCTTACATTTAGGTCTTTGATCCAGTTTGACTTAATTGTTCTATGTGGTAAAAGGTAATGATCCAATTTCATTCTTTTGCATGTGACTATCTAGTTTTTCCAGCACCAATTGTTGAAAGGACTGTCCTTTTCCCATTAAATGGTCTTAGCACCCTCATCAAAGATCATTTGACTAAATACCCAAGTATTCATTTCTGTGTTCTCTATTCTATTTCATTGGTCTATATGATTGTCCTTACACCAATATCTTACTCTTGAGTATTATTACTTTGTAGGAAGTGTCAAAATCAGGAAGGGTGAGTCCTCCAACTTAGTTCTTGTTCTTCAAGACTACATTGGCTATTTGGGAGGCCCTTGAGGTTCCATAAGAACTTTAGTATGGGTTTTTCTATTTCTGCAAAAACATCATTGGGATGTTGATAGGGATTGTACTGAATCTGAAGGTCACTTTGGGTAGGGGTATTATCTTCTTATATGGATTCTCTCATTTCATCTATGCAGCTCTATGAAGTAAGTATACTATTATTTTTCTTACTTGAAATGTGTGGAAACTAATGTTTAGCAAGATACAATAAGTGCCCAAGTCCCACATATAAAAAGAAATGATGCTGGAATCTGAACACAGGCAGTGTGACTCCATTGCCGAGTGTTCATAACTGCTTTACTATGCTGCCTTTCACAGCGTTGGCAGCACATGCAGTGATCCATATATTTCCCAGGTAGGAAGATGACAAAATTATTTCAGTTCCCAGTGGAAATTATTTGAATACATTTTTATTTGAATTACTACATTGTATTAATAAAAAATGAATTGCACAATTTGATAAAATGTAGAAAGTCCTTGCAGAAGGAGCAATGTAGGGAATAATAAGAGAGCTAAAGCAAATGAACATAAAGCTTGGACTGGATGACTCTTACCTCAGGGTACTAGGTCAAAGTATAAAGGAATATTATTTAATTAGAAATCTCTCTGGTTGTTTGAGGAACAGAACCATGTTTTCCAACAGTCATATTTGCTACATGAAAGACAGCTAAAAGAGAATCATAGATTTAGTTGGGAGAGTATCATAGATTTAGTTGAAACCATTGATATACCTGAGGAAGCCAAGTCCAAAGAAGTTATCTTGACTTGCTCATGTCACAGATCTGGTCAAGAGCACAGCCAGGTTAGAACCCAGACCCTCCAACTCCGACTAGTGCTCTTTAAACCTCAACATGCTAACTTATTTTTAAATAAATTAGCTTAGGTTGTCAAAAGACCATAAACTTTATTTAATCATTTAAAAAATCTTTTTTGAGGGCCTACAGTGAATAAGAAACTGTGCTAAATGCTTTTGGTGAACAAAGTTATTCGGATGTGATCTCACAGGATTTTTAGTTTGAGAAGGAACTAAGATGTATCTTTAGAAAGTATTACAAAGGTGACTTACAAATACTTGGGGGGTGGGGAGGTGGACAGAACATTAAACAGCAGGACATTTCTAAAAAGTTATTTCTGATTAATCTGCAGTAGAGAAAATAAGTGATAAAATTGAAGAAGTATCAGTTATGCATAAAGCAAATAGACATTTAATCTCTTTAAATCTAATCAGTAACCTGGTAAATGTTAACCTGGAATCAAGATTGTAAAACTATTTTGTATGATGGCGAATGACCCAGAGAATTGCGCCAAGTAAAGCCATACATAAGAATTGACATTCACAGCTGTTAGAACTCTCAAGCAGAACTCATCACAATTTCTCCACCAAACCACCTCCACTTTTGGTATCTTAGTCATAAGCATGACACCACAGTTCTCTTAGTCACCAAAGCTCAGAACCTGAGTAAAAACCTTTGAATCATTTTTATTATTTGTACTTTCTATTCTTCTTTTTCAGTGTTTTCTTCATCAATCTCTTCTTTTATGCTCTTATGATTTTGACTATTGTAATAACCTCCTAATTAGTCTTACTACCTTCTCTCATTAGTTCTGCACATCACTGTCAAGTCATTATTCTCAAAAGTACCATCTCTCTCCCTTTCCTATAGGATAAAGGTCAACATCCCAGACTATCAACAGTGGCAGAGTTAGATTTTAACTTCAGAAGGAAGGAAGCCTGGGGTGGGACTTGCCTTGTTGGTGTTTTGTTTTGTTTTGAAGATACCATGCCTTTTCCACTTGTCTCCTAGTATTACTTTCCTACTGTTTTCACTAGCATCTTTTCATCCATCTTAACGACTGGTTATGTCAACATATTTTAAATTATAGAAAAGACACTACATTTCAGGATAATTACGTTCAGGGGGAGAAACTCCTGCTTCTCTTTTAAACTGGGCTTTTGTCAGTCATTCCAAGGCCCCCAAACATATCCCAAACTGCCTTACCCATATTTATCTTCCACTGGTCCTCAATACTTTTCTAATCCAGCCAAGCTGGTTTGTCATTAATTTCCTAAGTTCTTCTCATAGCTTGGACTAAGGAGGTGGTAATAGACATGAAAAGGAGTAGAAGGGCATGCTATTGATGAATTGGATGAGCAGGGTGAAAGAAAGGGAGGAGTCAAGGAATGTCTTTCAGGTTTTAGGTTGCTCAACTAGATGGCTCATTGGGCTATTCACTGATGGGGGGGTAGATGAGTTTTGACAGAATTCCACTTTGGACATGTTAAATTTGAGATGCCTACTAGATATCCAAGTGATGATGACATGTAGGTAGTCACTTAAATAATGGATAGGGTTAAGGTAATTTAAGGTATTGTTATTAGAGAAAGGAAGCACGTTGTGGATCAGCACCTGAGACAGTTTAATATTTAGAGGTTAGATTGAGGATGAGGAGTCAGCAAGGAAAGACAATGTGGTCAATACAAATTATTAAAGTGTTCATGGAAGTATATAGCTATGCAAATAATACAATCAATAGTTTTCTAATTTGGACTTTTGATGTGTACATATTAGTAAGCTAACAAGCTATATTTTAATTCTTAAACTACAAATACAAACCTATACCTTTTCAAACTGGCTCAGCTGCATCACTATTTTAGCCCAAGCATAAGCAATTCTCTTTATTGGTACAATTTCATCTAACACTTAGCAGACCTGATCCACCACAATCTATCATTTTGTATCTAAATGGGTGGTTCCCCATATTTACAAAGATAACAGTATAGACTGCACCCTAAAATGGATGACAAATTCAAATTTATTAATGCACTGGAAATGTATATAATGTAGGTGTAAGTGGGAAATAACCATGGTTTTAAGAAATAACAGAGCCAAATGGGAATTAAAAATTTAATCAGAACATTACAATAAATATTTGGAAAAGAAACTGGAGAGAGCTTATCTACCAATTAATGGATGAAAAGTAGAAATTCCACTTTGGATTCATTGGATTAAGTTTTGTTCTAATTTATAGCATTAAAATTATGTCATATGTGGATGTAAAGTGGAAAAAAACCCACCAAAACCTTAGTATTATAGTATCTATATTGAGATATGCAAATAGTAGTACTTTAATAATATTCACATTGTGATTCTATTACTGGTAGTTCTTGATCTTTAACCTGCTTCAGAATGACGTGGAAGGCCTGTTAGCACAGATTGCTAGGCCTATAGTTAGGTGAGTCTCTGATTCAGTAGTTCTGGAGTGGGATCTTTGAATTGCAGTTCTAACAAGTTCCCAGGTGATGCTAATGCTCCTGGTAGTGTCAGGGACCATGTTTTAAGAACCCTTGCTACAGACTTCTCGGTCAATACTGAGAATTACATGTTGACTCGGATTTTATTCAGTACCTCCAAAGCAAAGACAGGGTATCTTGGAGAGGCTTTACAACCTAAAGACATTCACTAAACCTTCTTTTAAGTCCTCTGTAGAAACTGAAAAGAATCAGAACAACTACTATAATAAAACTCAAGAAATTAAAAGTATGCCTACATTACATTGTGAAAGCTTTTATCAGGAGTGGCAGTTGGTTAGTTAGTTTTAAGTTGTTGGGAGAAATGTATTGGCATTCTGGAGTGAGCCTAATAGTCATGGGTATCAGTTTGTATGTCGTACAGATGGACTGCAGAACATCCCATAATCCACTTATATGCAGCTTAAGAGAGTTTCAACTATAATGACAAGAAATGAACAAGTACAGTAATTCTAAGATATCTGCATGGATCATAACACCTTTCAGAACAGGAAAATAAGGAAAAAAAGGGAAACCAAAGAAAATAGTAAGATTCCTATTACCATCATAAGGTATTACAAAGTGCTTGCAAGTGCATTCAGATATTACAGCATATCACCTACAAGCAAAGTTACAAAATATAAAATAAAAACTAAATTAAATGTATTAAGCTTTTATTTAGTGTAATTCCTATGATGGTTAGTATATCTCAGTCACAAGCGATGATTCTTTTCCCTCTAAATTTTCAAAATCAATATATGGGAGACATGCAATGCTAAGTTCTTCTTTTGTACATCCTCTAAGACAACACTTTTCTGAGTATCCTCTACGTTTTCTTTGGGGGTGATTCCCCCAAAACAAATTGCTTAAGGTTTTAATTTTGTTTGCACTTTTTTTCTGAAATTTTACACTCTCATGAATATATGGATTAATATCATGTGATAAGGAAAATTCTCTTGTCTTATCAGGGGGTGAGTTCGCCTTTTCATGTGGATAGTGAGACAGTGACTGCATCTTCCAACTGTTTATTGCTTCTTCCTGAGAGGCAGAAGTAGACACTGTTGAGAGAGAAGAAAAAAAATCCTCATTTATTAAAATTTTCCTTTAGATGAAAATTTAATATTGGAATATGAAATCAGCTAATTATTAAAAACAAGTAATCACATTTTAAATAATAAAAAGCATTTTTTCAAAAGCTATATAAATTTTTAAAGTAGTTATAGTGTATAAAGAGGCTAATAAATCTTTGCACGTTTTTGTATTAACATTTTTGAGATATTCATATGCCATTAAAGTAATCATTTTAAAGCATATAGTTTAGGCTGGGCATGGTGGTTCAAGCCTATAAACCCAGCATTTTGAGAGGATGGGGTGAGAGGATTGCCTGAGCCTGCGGGTTTAAGACGAGCCTGGCCAATATGGTGAGACCTCGTCTCTACAATTAATCAAAAAAGTAACTGGGTGTGATAGCGCGCACCTGTAGTTCTGGCTACTTTGAAGGCTGAGGCGGAAGGATCGCCTGAACCCAGCAGGTCGAGGCTGCAGTGGCCGGGAGTGTGCACTGCACTCCAGCCTGGGCAACAGAGTGAGACACCAATTCAAAAAAACCCCAAAACAAACATACAAACATACAGTTCCGGCTAGGTGCTGTGGCTCATGCCTCTAATCCCAGCACTTTGAGAGGCAGAGGCTAAGATGATTGTCTGAGCCCAGGGGTTTGAGACCAGCCTGGGCAACTTGGCAAGACCTCATCTCTACAATAAATCAGATTAGCTGGGCATGGAGATGTGTGCCTGTGGTTCTAGCTACTTGGAAGGCTGAGGTGGAAGGATTGCCTGAGCCCAGCAGGTTGAGGCTGCGGTGGCCATGAGTGTGCCACTGCACTCCAGCCTGGATGACAGAGTGAGACTCTCCCTCGAATAAAATAAAATAAATAAAATATACAGTTCCGTGGTTTTCAATATATTCATTAGGTTGTGCAACTATCATCACTATCTAATTTCAGAACATTTCTGTCATTCCAAAAAGAAACTCCACATCCTCTAGCAGTCACTTCTATTTCTCTCTTTCCCTATCCCCTGGCAACCACTAATTGACTTTCTGTTTACTTAATTTAAAAGTAGGTTCTTTAAAAGGATTAATAAAATAGAACTATAGCCAGAATAATCTATAAAAAAGAAAGATGAATATAAAATACAGTAGGAAAAGAAAAAATAAGTCCAGTTACAGCTAAGGTTTTTTTTTTTTTTTTGAGTTGGAGTCTCACTCTGTTGCCCAGACTGGAGTGCAGTGGCCGCTCCCGGCCACTGCAGCCTCAACCTGCTGGGCTCCAGCGATCCTTCCACCTCAGCCTTCCAAGTGGCTGGAACTACAAGCACGCGCTACCACACCCGGCTAATTTTTGATTTATTGTAGAGATGAGGGCTTGCCAAGTTGCCCAGGCAGGTCTCGAACCCGTAGGCTCAGGCAATCCACTCACCTCAGCCTCCGAAGGCGCGGGATTACAGGCTGAGCCACTGAGCCCAGCTAAGCTAAGTTTTTTAAGTGAGTGAATATTATGAATGCTTACCACATTTAAAAATCAAGATGGAATATATGAATTCCTTGAAAAATACAAGATGCCTTAATTGGCACACAATGACAGAAAACTTAAAATGTACTAACAATATTTGAAGAAATTAAAAGTATTGTCATAGTTAACATCTTCAACAAAAACAAAAACCGCAAACATAGATGATGTTAGAGGTGGATTTCATTTTTTTTTTTTTGAGATGGAGTCTCACTCTTTCACCCAGGCTGGAGTGCAGTGGCACGCACACTCACGGCCACACCACCGTCGACCTTCTGGGCTCCCGCAATCCTTCCACTTCAGCCTTCCGAGTAGCCTGCAATACAGATGTGCGCTACCATACCTGGCTTTTTATTTTATTATAGAGGTGAGGTCTCACCAAGTTGCCTGAGCTGGTCTCGAACCCGCGGCCTCAGGCAATCCATTCGCCTTGGCCTCCCAAAGTGCTGGGATTGCAGGCTGAGCCACAGAGCCTGGCCTTCATTTATTTTTTAAAAACAGTAAATTTCAATCATATACAAGTTGTTCCATAAAAAGTTGTTCCAAAAGCTGCCCAGCTTGGCCAGGCATAGTGTCTCATGCCTGTAATCTCAGCACTTTAGGAAGTTGAGGCGAGAGGATTGCTTTAGCCCAGGAGTTCAAGACCAGTCTAGGCAATATAGTGAGACTTTGTCTCTACAAAAATAAAAAAATAAAAAAAATTAGCTGTGCATTGTAATGCATGCTTGTAGTCCCAGCTACTAAGGAGGCTGAGGCTGCAGTGAGTCATGATTGTGCTTCTGCACTCCAGCCTGGGTAACAGAGTGAGACCCTGACTCAAAAACAAACAAGCAAAAACCAAAATAACTGCCCAGCTCATTTTATGAAGTTAGTGCAATCCTTATTCCAAAACTAGACAAGAACCAATTAAAGATTTTAAAAATTCCTTAAAGCCCATTTTACTTGCAAATGTTGATTTGCAAGTTCTAAATCTGATATTAGTTACCTGAATCCATAAGCATACTTTACAAATATATTAAAAAAGAGCTCATTCCAGAAATTCAAGGATAGGTCAGGATCACAAAATCTATCAATGCAGTTTATCATGTTAATAGACTGTCATCCTCATTCTCAGCTGACTTTGTTTTCTACTTCTTAAGAAAATTGGAGCAATCTAAGGAAGACTTGCATTCATTACCTTTACCATTTCCTGTCCTCATCTCTTAACATCTATATACTTATACTCTGCCTTCTTACCTATTTCCACAGATGCACTTTACACTGTAAAGCAATTCCTGCATTTATGTATTACATCTCATCTCCTCTTGCCTACTCCAGAAGACCACTCCAGTAATCCTTCCTTATATCCTTCATCAATTTTTCACTTCTACTGAATCACTCCTATCAGCAACAAATGTTATTTCTCCCACTTATAAACACACACACACACACACACACACACACACACACACACACACACACACACACACATAGTGCCTCACTTACCCTATAGTTACCATTGTATTTTTCTCTGTAGTAAAAGTCATGACAAACTTGTCTGTATTAAAATAGCCAATTCTCATTTTAATTGACTTTTCAAAACACCCCTTCCTGATACACTTTCTTCACTTGGTTTCCTGGACACCACACTCTTTTTTCTTCTTACCTAACTAGTTGCCTCTTCTCTATCTCCTTTGCAAGTTTTTCCTTCCCAATTTTTTAATGTTGCTGTCTCCAAGGGCTCAGTCCTTGGTACTCCTTTTTATCTATGTTTGCTCTCTTAGCAATTTCCTCCAGTCTTATGGCTCAAAAAATTATCTATATACTTATAACTCCTAAATTTCTATTTTTGAACAAGATTTCCAAACTCCAGACTCATATATCTTACTTCCTGCTCAACATCCGCATTTCATTTCAAACTCAATATATTAAAACTCTACCTGAACTCTTCAAACTCAACATGTCCAAAACTGAACTACTTATATTGTCTTCCAAACCTGCTCCACTCAAGGCCTTTCCTATCCCATCCTTCCAGTTGTTCCACACACAAAAACTAAAGAGCTACTTAAGAAAAATGTTTTGGAGTCATTCTTGATTTCTTATCTCACATAAAATCTGCCTAAATCCAGAATATAACATTTTCACTACCTTTACTGCTACCAAACTCATCCAGCTGCTATCATCTCTAAGACCTTCCCTAACAAGTCTCTGCTTCTACTCTTGCCTCTCTAAAGTATATTCTCAAAACAGTAGCTAGATTGACCCATTTAAAATGTCAATTATGTCACCCTCTGCTCAAAGTTCTGTAATAACTCCATGCATCACACAAGTCCTTACAATAGTTTGACAGACTCTATTTTAATCATGTCTGTTACTTCCCTAACCTTATCTTCACTTTCTCTGTTTCAGCCACACTTACTTCCTTTGCTGTTCCCTGTATACATCTGGCAGAAGTGCCTTTGCTGTTTCCTCCGCCTAAATATTTTTCCCCTAGATATCCACCTGGGTAATTCCCTTATCAAAATCCTTCCTCAAATATTACCTTTTCAATAAGGTCTATCCTGATCACACTATTTAATACTATATGAGGGGAGACCCCCCCCAAAAAACCCAAATTTATTTGTTAAAAATTATGTATTTGTTCTTACATATTTAAACTTTGGTCACCTTAAAAATACTCTCCGTTTGATGCAATACACCTATCAAGATACTTTTTCCGCTGCTCAAAAGTTTCTGAATTCATCGATTTTGATCCCTTTTAGTGCTTCTGCTATGTTTTGTTTCACCTCTTACACATTAGGAAATATTTCCCTTTGAGGACTTTTATCCAGGGAAACACAAAAAAGTCACTCAGGGCGAGACTGAGTGATTGGGGGGGTGGGGCAATGAGGTCATGCCATTTTCAGTCCAAAACTGCTGAATGCTCAGTGTGGTGTGCATAGGTGCGCTTGTCAATCATCCATCATGAAAAGGGCAAGCTCATTGAAAGAATCTCAAAAAAAAAAAAAAAAAAAAATCACTGAAGCTGAATGCAGTCTCTCACAACAATGCAAGCTGGTAGACTGATGCTGGCAGGTTCCTAGAACACTTGCCTAGTGGGGAAAGCCTTCACCACAAGGGGATCACCCTCCAAAAAATAACTCCGTTTTTTTTTTTTAGTCTCTCTTTGTATAATAAATACATTGGGATGGTTGCCTATGAGAGGGGGAGAATGGGCTGGAGAAAGGGGATAAATGAGGACAATCATCATCTAATAGTATAATTTGTTTATGCTTATTGTCTATTGTCACTATTCTGTATGCTTCATGAGGGCAGAAGCTTTCGCTGTTCACTCTTACATCCCAAGCACCAAGAAGAATGCCTAGTACATACCCGGCACTCAAATGTTGTTGAATTAATATATAGAGGGATCCCTTATGGACTAGTTGTGATGATACCTGGAAAATAAAGAAACAAACAAACTAGAAGGGGTGGATGAATACTAAGAATCAGGGAATATGGTCAATATAACTGGAGTAGGGATTATGGATTATAAAAAGCTGATATTGAAACATTAATGTTTTTACCTGGCCCTAAGAGCTGGCATGCACCATACTCAGAGTTTAGAAATATATCAGCTTCAAAGTACCATATTCTGGGAGTAGATCTTAGAGATATGGCCCACACCTTCAGGATACACTAACAAACACACAATTTCAGAACTAAGCTAAGTAGTTCTGACATAAGCATCTTTTTTTTTTTTTTTTGAATTGGCATCTCACTCTGTCATCCAGGCTGGAGGGCAGTGGTATGCTCACAGCCACTGCAGCCTCAACCTGCTGGACTCAGGTGATCCTTCTGCCTCAGCCTTCCAAGTGGTTGGAACTACAGGCGTGTGCCACCATGACCAGCTAATTTTTAAATTTATTGTAGAGATGAGGTCTCGTCAAGTTGCCCAGGCTGGTCTTGAACCTGTGGGCTCACGCAATCGTCTCGCCTTGGCCTCTCAAAGTGCCAGGATTATAGGTGTGAGCCACTGTGTCTGGCTGAAAAAAACAATTTTTTAATAGTAGTGTGCCAAACTATTTTTTCTGTATAAGACTCAAAATAGATGATCAAAATATTAAAATTGTGGATTAATGATTTGCTCTAATACAGCAATGTGTCCTGCTGTTAAAAGCTAAATAAATATAAACTTTTTAGCTACATTAATCTATAAAAGAAATGACATAATTATATATTCTATATTGAAAACACATACCTCTCTGCAACTTCTAAATTATTTACTGGGAATTAAAAGGTCAGAATAAATGTCACCTTTCCTTAAATATTAATAATTTTTAAAATTTTAGTACAATGCATATCAATAACCTAAACCTATTTTTCCTTCTTCCACATATTTTAAAATAACTGTGGCTTTATTGCCACATATTTCCACTTCAGCAAACTGTTGTTTATAAACCTGTTCCCATAGTAACAGATTTAATGGGTAGGACAATTTTGAAATATTGTCAGTTACATTTTTATTTCTGAAAAGTCTTGTTTCATTGCAGCTTCCCCTCATTGAATTAGTGGCATTTATTCCTCACAGGGAGTGTAAATAACATCTAAACAAAGGGGTCATTAATAGGCTGTGAGTTTTAAAACCGAACATTTTTATTAAGAAAATTGTCTTCAGAGCAGGCTTTGTTGAGAAAAGAAATTCCAAACGCTGTTTAAAAAACAACCTCAAGCTTGGGGGTATGAAGATAAAATTTTGAGTACAGTATTATAGAATAGGTGGAGAGAGCACAGGATTTGATGTGGGGGAATGCCTCCCTTTCCCCAACATGAAGCAGAAAGGGAAAGCTCTCCTTGCATTTCTGGGAGAAAAGAAAAGAAGAGAATAAGGAAGAGGAAGGAGAAAAAGAGAGGAGATGAACTAGACTTTGTTACTTAAAAGTGTGAACTACCACCTAGCAGCATCAGTGTCACCTGCATATTAACAGAATTCTCAAATGATGCATATGCACATTAACGTTCTGAAAATCAGTAAACTAAAGCACAAGTAGATTTTGGGGAGAGATATTTCATTGTAAGAGAAAGACAAGGTGAGTTTAGATTTAGGTAGGTTTGATGGCAGAAAATGATAAAGAATCAGTCGCGTGGTTTCTCTCTTTAAAGGTTTCCCATCTCACTATAAGAAAGGAATTGGCAGTAGGAAACTGCTGTGGTTGGAGGGGTGGGGCACATTGCATCAATAAGGGTACCTCATCTCAAACCAGGTGAAGTGAGGACCAAAGTGAGGCTCAAATTTTACCTGTACAATGACTATTTGTATACCTATTCCTGAATTGTACCCCACATCTTTAAAATAAAAATCTTTTTAAAAGTTTCCATTCTCTTACCAATTGTATAGGTTTCACTCATTCAGGCATTCAAAAACAAGTTTAACAAATGTCTACAATGTGCCAGGCACTGTTTGACTGTTGACTTAGTCCTCTACATTAGGGTCTATTTTTTGTCCTGATAGTCTACTGGTTTCCTTAATATCAGAAATCTTTTGCAAGACTTGTTAAAGTGAAATCAACTGAATTACTTTAAAGGGCAATAATTTTCCTCCTATGGATAGACTATATATAAAATGCATTTTCTTTTGAAATGGCAAACCACATAGGGACTAAAATGTGTTAGTCACAAACATAAAAACATAGTACGAAGGTATCAGTGGATGTGAAACAAGAATTTTCTTCTTAAAGACTGTTTGGAAACATTAAGTATAAATTCAATATATCTTAAGCACATACTGTGTGAGGCCCTCTGCCTGGCATGTCAGATAAACAGATGCATGAGACAGTCCCCATAATACAGTATGGTAGGCAGGGAGTGAGACTTGTGCTGTCGCACAGGCTCTGCATTTCATGTTAATGTTCTGTTTTTGTTTTGAAATTCTCAATAACTTTATCTTTGAACTTGTAAGTGAAGCACAAGTACATGAATTTTTAAATGAAGCCTCATAGGAAAAAAGACCATGCATGTCAGGAGAGGAGATATGGAAACGAAAGGAAAAAAGCTTTATATTTTAGTACCTTTAGTGGCCCTTTCCTGCTTTTTGAACAAGGGGCCCTGAATTTTTATGCTGCACTGAGTTAGGCCAATTATGTAGCGCGTCCCCATGATAGTAAAATAGGTCGTGGTAGAAAGAAGAATGGAGCGACTAGCCATCACAAGGTCAACGATGACTTCACAGGGAAAATTATGCTTAAGTTGGGCTTTGGAGGGCAAAAAGGAGTTTGCCGGATGACACGGGCGTTCCAGAAAGGGCAAGTGGGGGAAGGAACAGCATCCTTACATAAATGTGTACACTTATTTCCTCCAAGTAAAAAACAAAAACAAAACAAAACAAAAGTTCACAGAGGTTTTGTATTTTCTCAATATACTCGTTTTCACAAAATTTTATTTACCTGTGTACTAGGCATACATTCCATTTCCCGGGGAAGCTCACCTGGCCAAACAAATTTGAGGATAGGAAGTGTACACGCCTTGGGTTTAGATTTTTACCTGGTTTTGTGCCTCTTCCCCCGACCGAGAAAGGGGTTTGGGGGCTTCTGAAGTGGTCGGGCATGAAGGCGTCAACCTTCTCCGAGGCCTGGGGAACCAGCCGTGCCAAAGAGGGCTCCTCCTCGAAATGGAACCGGCTCCAGTTAGCACGGCCACAGAGTTTTACTATTTCTTTCACCAGGTGCCTGCCGCACAGCTTCCTGGCTCTAGTGAGGTCGCTCAGCTCACAGGAACACCGAGCCAGCAGGAGCCCGAACCACAGAAGACAAAGGCAGAGGAGGCGCGGCATCCCTGAGACCCAGCTGGGCCCTCAGGGAGGCGCAACGGCCGCACCAGACCCGGTTCTCTCTGCGCCTGCGCTCGCGCCCGACCGCGCCGCGCGCGAGGGCGCCCTGCGGAGTTCTGAGCGCTTGGGAGCCTCGCGAGAACGCCACGGCCCGGCGCCGGGCGGCGGTGGGGGGAGCCTTCTCCAGCCCGCCCGGGTCTCAGGCGACCGAAGGCAGCAGGCCCGGCTCCTAGAGCGAAAACCCAAAGTGCTCCCGCGCTGTGTTTGTCTTCCCTTCGTCTTTAGGAGACTCACCAAGGGAAGCGTGAGAACGGAGGACCCCGTTCACCGATAAGGTTCTTATGAAACCTGTGGCGTCCTCTACCGCTTGCCTGGGCGTTAATGAGGCGTCGCCTCCCACAGAGAAACCTCGTCTCCATCATGGTGTTTATGTTAATGGAGGTGTTCACTTTGGTGCGCTTGTTTGAGTACCTCTGTCCCTGAGACCCCGAGCTTCATGAAGGTGGGGCCTGGCGCCCGGTTGGCGGCTAGCTTTGCGTTGAGACTTCTGCGGGTCTGAGTAAGCGCATGTGCCTTTTAAAATCCGACTCAACGCTTGCTCAGAAAATCCTACGGGCCGCGGGGAGGATTGGGCCTTCGCCTCCATCTCCAGAACCAAGAGGCAGGATGCTGCCCTGAGGCACTGGCTCTTTCTGGTTAGGGATTGTCGAACTGGAACTCGCAACTCGCTGGTGGCAGGAACCGCTGGAGGACTGAGTAACGGCATGAACTGCAAGTCCAGATGCGATCGTTTTTCTCAAGAGGGAAGAGGCAGGGACGCAATCGGCGTCGGTCTACGGGTGCGCATCTCCACGCCTGGCCAAGTATTTTATTTTTCGTGGAGATGAACGGTGTGCCCCAAGCTGCTTTCGGACTCCTGGGCTCAAACGATCCTCCCACCTCCGCCTCCCAAAGTGCTGGGATTTCTGGGGTGAGCCGCCGTGCAAATTTTTATTTTATTTTGAAGTGTGTTGGTTTGGAAGGATGTGCTACCTGCCACAAGGCGGCACTCGGGGGCCGTCTCAGGAGCTGTCAGTTTTAGGATGCCACAGCCACGGGTGCCGGCTTATCAGTGAGCTTCTGGCCACTTCCCTTCACAGTTTTACTGTTTTCTCCCTTACTTTTCTGTCTTATGACTCTATGTCTTTCTTTTCTTTTGTTTTCTTTTCATTTTCCATTTCCCCAGCTTTGCCCTGCTTCCCAGTGGCATTCCTACACGCAGTTCAATTAACTGACGATTGGAGTTTTTAAAAGGTTGATGTACTATAGTATAGTTTCATCACCTTCTTTGTAAAGCAACTCATGTGCAGCAATTAACCCCAGAACTTTATCAGGTAAACTCGATGAGAAAGGAAAATACTGATCATATTCAGAGGAAGGAAAAAAAGCCAAAAAAAACCCAACAACACCTCTGAAGCAATATGTGTCAGAACTTGCAAGTTTGATTCTGACTCCCATTCTCTTTGCGCACTCTACACCCTCGCCCTGCTACTCATTGTTAGCACTGGAAAATGAGTAAATAGAAAGAAGACGAGAGGTGGGCGGCTCAACAGCAACACAGGCTTGTTCCCAAGAAGGACCCATGGTGGGGGTCACCAGATAAGTCCGGAGCCCCACTTTGCTTACATCCTAGGGGCAATTACAGTTGTGGGGTGGGGGGGGGGTAGGAGTGGGAAGGCAGTGACCGGGGGACGGTGCACAGTTAAATAAATATTTTCGTTGGGAAAATTTAGCAGCTATCACATTGCTAGGGTAACTAAGGGAGTTACTTGACCTTGTAGTTACGATAAAGGTTGCTTACCAGGGCATATTGTCACGGTTTTGGGCGTTGCTAGTAATTTTTTTTTTTTTTTAAATCTCTGCTAGCCTTTACAAACGGCAGGGGAGCCTAAGATGTTTCTAAGGCTAACACTCATTACAAACTGACATAAAATATATTTTACTACTGTGTATGTTTACTGTCTCCTACCATATTGTAAGTTCCATGTAGGTAGGAATTTTTACCTATCTTGTTTACTTTGATATCCTTGTTGCTTTGAAGAGTGCATGGAACATAGTAGGTGCTTAATAATAATTAAGTGTTAATAGTTATAGTTCATAATATTAAATAATAAATTAAATGTTAGTGACATCAATAATGATGATACGTGAATGAGTTACTAAATTAAATTAATTTTTAAAAATGGTGAGTGAATGAATGAATAAATGAATAAATTCCCTGAGCATTTACTTCTTCCTTTATAGCCAGTTTCAGACTTCTGTCATAATTATGGTTCAGGTTTATTTTATTTATTTGAAACCTGGGCTGTATCTTCTTATTTATTTATTTTCATTTTCATTTATTTCGAAGATGTGGGGTACATTGCAGGATTAGGTAGATAAGCGGTCATCGTACAGATAACGTTTGGGCCTCCCTAGTCCTCACTTCACCTGGTTTGAGATCAGGTACCCTTATTAATGTTATGTGCCCCCCTCTTTTCCTGGCAGTTTCCCACTACTGCCAATTCCTTTTTTTGTAGTATTATGATAAATGTTCAGGGTTCACTTATGAGTGAGAACATGTGGTACTCAGTTCTTTGTTTCTGTGATAGATCTCTGAGTATGATAGACTCCAAATCCATCTAAGTTCCTGTGGAGTTCATAATTTTGTCCTTGTTTATGGCAGCATAATATTTCATCATGTATATGTACCACATTTAAAAAAATCCAGTCCACTTTGAATGGGCAGTACAGCTGATTCCAGGTTTTTGCTGTTGTGAGTAATGCTGCAATAAACATGTATGTGCAGGTATCTTATTTATAGAATGATTTGAGTTTCTCCAGGTATATTTCCAGAAGAGGGATTGCTGAGTTGTATGGGAGGTAAATATTTAGATCTTCTAGGATTCACTACATTGTTTTCTACAGAGGTTGTAAAGTTTACACTCCCACCAACAGTATAGAAGCGTTCCCTTTTCTCTGCATCCTCTACAGCATCTGTTGTTTTGAGTTATTGATGATGGTTATCCTGACTGGAGTTAGGTGGTATCTCAGTGTGGTTTTAATTTGCGTTTCTTTGATGACTAGTGAGGCTGAGCATTTTTTCATGTATCTGTTGACTGCTCATATGTCTTCTTTTGAGAAGTGTCTTTATATCTTTTGCCCACTTGTTAATAAGGCTTCTTGTTTGTTCTCTTTTGGCATGTTCGAGTTCCTTGTAGATCCTGGATGTTAGACCTTTGTCAGATATACAGTTGGCGGATAATTTTTCCCATTCTGTAGGCTGTCTCCCTACTATCTTTATGGGTTATTTGCTTTGCAAAAGCTTTTCAGTTTGATGAGATCCCACTTGTCTATCTTATCTCTTATGGCTTGTGCATTTGGGGTTTTGATCAATTGGTCGCCTATTTCAAGTTCCATAAGGGTGTCTTCTACATTTTCTAAGATTCTTATAGTTTGAAGTTTTGTGTTTGGGTCTTTGATACACTTAGAGTTGATTTTTGTGTATGGCGATGGGTAGGGGTCCTGTTTCAATCCTCTGCATGTGGTCAGGCAGTTTTCCCAGCACCATATCCTGAATAGGTTCTCCTCTTCCCAGTGGTTGTTAGTGGAGGCTTTGCTGAAGATAAGTTGGCTGAGAAGTTGAGGTTTTGCTTCCAGATTCTCTATCCTATTCTGTTGGTCTGTATGCTTCTTCTTGTACTAGTACCAGCCTGAGTAGCCTTATAGTAAAGTATAAAGTCTAGATATGTGCTACCACCCACTTTGTTTCTTTTGCTAGGGGTTGTTTTCACTATTTGGAGTCTTTTATGTTTTCATATAAATTTCTGTATTGTCATTTCCTAGTCTGAGAAGAATGATGTTGATAATTTAATAGGTATTATGTTGAATCTGTAGATTGTCTTTGGTAGGATGGACATCTTAACAATGTTGATTATACCAACCCATGAACATGGAATATTTTTCCATTTGTTTGTGTCTTCTTTGATTTCTTTGATCAGTGTTTTGTAGTTTTTGTTGTAAAGGTCTTTCACTTCTCTGGTTAGGAAGATTCTGAGGTATTTTTTTTGTGTGTGTGGCTATTATGAATGAGATTATGCTTTTTATTTGGTTATCTTCCTGTTTGTTGTTGATGTATAAGAATACAAATGTCTTTTGTGTGTTTATTTTGTAAGTTATTTATCATTGCAAGGAGGTTTTTGAGAGATTCAAGGTATTGGATCATATTGTCCACAAAGAGGGATATGTTAACTTCCTCTTTTCCTATTTGGATACTCCTGATTTCCTTCTCTTGTCTGATTGCTCTAGCCAGGACTTCCAACACTGTGTTGAACAAGAGAGATGAAAGTGGGCAGCCTTGTTTTGTTCCAGTTTTCAAGGGAAATGCTTTTAATTTCTATCCATTTAGCAATATGTTGGCTGTGAGTTTATTGTAGATGGTGCTTACTATTTTGTGATATGTTCCTCTGTGTGACTAGGTGTTCAAGGGTTTTTATCAAGAAGTGATGCTGCATTTTATCAAAAGCTTTTTCTGCATCTAATGATATAATTATGTGGTTCTTTTCTTCAAATCTGTTGATGTTTTAAATTACATCTATGCTCTTTTGGATGTTGGACCAGCCCTGCATCCCAGGAATGAAGCCTACTTGGTCTTGGTGGATGATTTTTGAGATGTATTGTTGGATTCGATTTGCTTGAATCTTGTTGAGAAATTTTGCATCGATGTTTATCAGGGGTATTGGCCTGTAGTTCTCTTTTTTTGTTGTTGTATACCCGGTTTGGGTATCAGTGTGATGTTAGTTTCATAAAATAATTTGGGGGAGTTCTTTCTTTTCTATTACATGGAATACTTTCAATAGGTTTGATATCAGCTCCTCCTTGTATGTTTTGTAGAATTTCACTGGAAAGACGTCTGGTCCAGGTCTTTTTTTTTTTTTTGGTAGGTAGTTTTCTTGTGATGGAGTCAATTTTCTGGGTTGTTATCA